GTAAATTAACTCAGTTATTTTCATTTTTTTGCGATGTTGACTAAATGATTTATTTCAAATTTTATTATTAACTCAGCTCTATTTTAAATAATTGAAAATTACAATTTATTTGCAAATTGTACGTTACAATGAGACAAATATCCATTATTCTGGCTCTGTTCTGCGATGAATTATATATTTTATTTTTAATAATGTATAATGTCAATAATTTAATTTGCAGAACTCTATAAATTTTAACCCAACACAACGCATAAAATAAGCTATTTTTACTTAGAAGCTTCGCAGTTATTCGTATACTCAGGATATTCATCTTTATTGTAACTTGTCTTTCTGACAATATTTATTCGCAAATTTATATTTCTATTCCTGTAGCTTCATTATTTTTACTCAACGAATAAGTGAATTAATTCTTAGTTAAACATCATGGCAGAAAATTCGCCGGCCAACCGTGGCCTCCGAAACGCCGGCCGAACAATCGACTCGGTAAAGTGTCACTCAGCCCAATAAATGGGACATTTTGTCCAAAAACTGAAACAAATTTTCTGGATGTACCATTAATATATCCGCTTGCTGTGCCAAACTGGGTCAAAATGACCTACATAAGGGCAAAAAATGCATAGTTACTTGGACAAAGTTTCACTTATATTTCTGAGTGTTAAGGACATCGGTGGCAAACCTCGATAAATGGAAATCGTTGAGTAGGATATTTAAATTATGGATCCTTGACGTGTAGGATATTGAAATTATGGATCCTTGACGTGCAGGATATTGAAATGATGGATCCTTGACGTGTAGGATATTGAAATGATGGATCCTTGACGTGTAGGATATTGAAATGAAGGATCCTTGACGTGTAGGATATTAAAATGATGGATCCTTGGTGTGTAGGATATTGAAATGAAGGATCCTTGACGTGCAGGATATTGAAATGATGTATCCTTGGTGTGTAGGATATTGAAATGATGGCATCCACTGGATGGATACCCAAGTCTCTCTCACTTGCAGCTGCTCTCCTTAATTCAAATATACATTAAAATTATTCTTGGTTATTATATTAACAATAATTTGCTGAAATAACAACTTATTGTTGTGATAAACTAGCAACTTAAGCCTTTATATATGCTACTATATATAAACTGTATATGGACACTATGTAAACTGTTTATGCCATTATATATAAACTATATACGGCCGCTATATAAAAACCATATTTGGCCACTATATTTAAACCAAGATTTGTAACGAGATTCGCAACAGAGGTTCAGTGCCCAAAGGGGTTCAGCCCTAATAGAGGTTCATTCCCATAGGGGTTCAGTCATTAAAGGGGCTCGGTCCTCATATATAGGGGTTCAGTCATTAAAGGGGGTTCAATCCCCACAGGGGCTCAAACCCCTTAGGAGTTCAATCCCCCCCAGGGGTTTAGTCCCCATATGACATCAGTCGCCACAGGGGTTCACTGGAGGCTCATGGCTCACATGATGTATGCCACGGCGCGTTTAAGCCACTCAGGCTAATAAGCCTCCGCCTCCCTCTGGAGCGCGGTGCCATATGGCGTCCTCAGGTCCTTAGGGACGGCCGACCTTAAATCGGCCATGTGACACTGAGCACTAAGAAAAATAAGCAAGTCTTTGTCCAAATAGTGATGAACTTTGTGCTCTTGTGTAGGTCATCCTGACGCAGTTTGGCTAAGAAGAAGGGCTTATCGGTGCTCATGCACGAAGTGGGTCAAAATTTGGACAATATAACCTATTCGTTTTCTGAGTGTAGGCACGCGTCAGCTACGCGCTGCACGCGCCAGCCACGCGCTGCACGCGTCAGCCACGCGCTGCCCGCGTCAGCCACGCGCTGCACGCGTCAGCCATGCGCTGCACGCGTCAGCCACGCGCTGCACGCGTCAGCCACGCGCTGCACGCGTCAAAAATTTACGAAAAATTAAGTTCGATGAATAATTCACCAAAATACTTGAAATTTAATTTGAAATAGAGCAAAAAATTCATTATTCGATATATTTTGCGCCCTGAATGCAGAATAAGCCCGGTTAAATGCTGATTTACATGCCGGTTATTCAAACGGCTTTTCCAACGGTTTTTCAGGAAATTTTAAATCCTTTTTCTAACAGTTAACCATACAATTCTCTCACTGAATTTCCTGTTTGAATGACTCAAACAATAAAGCAGGGTTTAAGTTTTACTAATTATTACTAATTATCTAAGTCAAAATTCAGTACCGGTAATTCAAAGTCGCATGATCGACAGCAATACAAATCTACACACGAGTTTGTATATTTAATATGCAACCTTGCAATTCAATGCTGAATGTAATAAGTAAACAGCTATATCAAATGATTCAACAGCTATATATTAATTACATATAATTAATTAAGTATTCAATTAATTAATGACTTAATGCCAAGACGAACAAGATTTACTAATCATTCAAACAGCCAAACTAACTTTACTAATAACTAAACACTATAATCAGTAATATTAATTTGTTGATTAGCATGACCAGCTGTACTAATCAATAGCTGATCATCTGTATTGTGTTAACTGTATTAATTGAACTGTTAGTGAATGTTAATGCGTAATTCAGCTGGTCGGGTTCATACGTATTTTTATTGCGTGTTAACACGAACGTGTGTACACGAACGTGTTAACATGGACGTGTTAACACGAGCGTGGACATTAACATCGACGTATTTTATCCAATTATTCATATGTAAATTAACATTAATCAAACCCTGAATATCCCAGAGTATCCTACACATGAACAAATTATGAGCGAATAATCGGCGGCCACACGTCCGCATATTCAGCCCATGGGTTAATTTTATATACGAAGGCACTGTGCTGGTATGAAATGTTTGTACAGGGTTTGTAGCGCGTCACAATTAGTAGATTTGTACAGAGAACAGTGATGATGATCACGATGATAAACGGCGATCGAAAAAAAATTTAATTAAATTGCATTTTCAAAAATCCTCCTAAAATATCCCCAGAAATTGGGAAAGCGAACGTCTAGCGTGTATATAAAAAAACCATTTCACACACATTTGTCAGAATTTCATACACATTTTTCCAGATTCCGATCACATTTGTCAGAATTTCGGACACATTTATCAGAATTACGTACACATTTGTCTGAATTTCGTACGCATTTGTCTGGATTATGTAAACACCTGCCTGAATTTCGTACACATTTGTCTGAATGTTGTACTCATTTGTCTGAATTTCGGACACATTCATCAGAATTACGTACACATTTGGCCAAACTTCGCACACATTTGTCTGAATTTCGTACAGATTTGTCTTAATTTCGTACACATCTGTCCTGATTTCGCACACAAATGTTCAAGTTACCCACCTAATCGTTATCTAAATATCAATAGGACATTCCAACCAAACTTTAATATATAAAAATCTTTAATATATAAAAAAAACTTACAAGGGAAAATTTAATTAACATTCATGATCTTCATTACAGTGACTGGCACATGTAAAGTAGGAAACACTCACAGAAATGAGCGAGACATTGTCCAAATATCGATGCACTCTTTTCTCTTGTGTGGACACTGATATGCAAAAAGGCGCTAAATTCACTATTTTGCTTGGATTATAAGCAAGAAAGTGTGTCACTATTTGGACATTATGACACACTCATTTTTCTTAACTAAACTTGAAGTAATACCTTGTGCAAATTTGCTACAATAAATAAAATCATGAGCACAACGTAAGCAGCACAACAAACGACATGTACATCATTGTACTCGCAGCTTCAGTGAAAGTTAACTAGAACTTATCTTAGTTCAGGTTCATACATTACATAGTTAGCGTAATTCATACATCATAGTGTATAAATTACATAGTTATACATCATAGTGTAATTCATAAAGCTTCCTCTAAAATTCCAAGAAATGACAATAATTTTTGTTCTTCCACAAATAAAGCAAATATCCCACAAGTCAGCAAGCAGAGGCTGCAATAACTCAACGATCGTTAATTTATATATATTTTTAACTTTTTACAGCAAAAATAGTTAACCACAAGTTGTTCAGTAAACCAAATACACCATAGCTCCATATAGATTAACTATTAACATTGCCACCGATTAAAAGGTTATATTGAATTAAGGAATGTAATAAGTGCAAATAAACTGTACAGGAATTGTGCTTATATTATGTATTTTACAAATATTATTTCACTAACAGGCAAGTTCTTACCGAAAGGATAAATAAGAATTGCATCGAATAACTTTATACAATGTTTGAAAATACATTATACAATGTTTGGAAATATATTATGCAATTTTTGAAAATACTTTTTATACATAAGGAAATAAGATATGATCATGTGACACCCTGGCCTCCAACACAATATTATCCTAACTATGACGTATATGAATAGATAAATATTATGATAGCGACCTATGATTGAAGAAAATATTTCGACGCATCATTAATCACGTACGACCGAGTCAGTCATCCCTCGCGACTGAACCACTCATCACTCACGACTGAGTCACTCATCACTCACGACCGAGTCAGTCATCACTCATGACTGAGTCACTCATCACTCACGACCGAGTCAGTCATCACTCACGACTGAGTCAGTCATCACTCACGACTGAGTCAGTCATCACTCACGACTGAGTCACTCACGACTGAGTCACTCATCACTCATAACTGAGTCACTCACGACTGATTCAGTCATCACTCATGACCGAGTCACTCACGACTGAGTCACTCATCACTCACGACTGAGTCACTCATCACTCATGACTGAGTCACTCACGACTGAGTCACTCATGACTGAGTCACTCACGACTGAGTCAGTCATCACTCACGACTGAGTCACTCATCACTCACGACTGAGTCAGTCATCACTCACGACTGAGTCAGTCATCACTCACGACTGAGTCAGTCATCACTCACGACTGAGTCACTCACGACTGAGTCACTCACGACTGAGTCACTCATCACTCATAACTGAGTCACTCACGACTGAGTCAGTCATCAGTCATGACGTACACGACAGGCTGCGTGAAGATCCTAACGCCATCCTCGAGCTGCAGGAGTTTGTCCTCGAGTTGCGCGCGTCGTGCGCGCACGCGCAGCGTATCCTGCGCCACGGGCAGCGCGCTCAGCTCGCGCACCACCTCCTGGATGCCTGCGCACCAACGCACCAAGTGTTAGTGGTGAGCAAATGATACGCAAAACTATACATAATGACATAGTACGCAAAACTATCCATAATGATATACGCAAAACTATACATAATGACATACGCAAAAGTATACATAACGATATACGCAAAACTACACATAATGATATACGCAAAAGTATACATAATGATATACGCAAAACTAAACATAATCATATATGCAAAACTAAACATAATGATTTAGGCAAAACTATACATAATGATACTTGGAACTATATGTACATAATGATCCTTGAAAAATATCCATAATAATACTGAAATCTATACATAATGATATGCTAAACTATACACAATGATACGGGTATATATACAATATTATATATATATAATATATATATATATATAATATTAGTTATATATACAAGAACTATATATACCTAATGATACGCAAAACTATACATAATGATACTTGAAACTATCCATAATGATACTTGAAACTATCAATAATGATACTTGAAACTATCAATAATGATACTTGAAACTATCCATAATGATACTTGAAACTATCCATAATGATANTATACATAATGATACTTGAAACTATACATAATGATACTTGAAACTATACATAATGATACTTGAAACTATACATAATGATACTTGAAACTATACATAATGATACTTGAAACTATACATAATGATACTTGAAACTATACATAATGATACTTGAAACTATACATAATGATACTTGAAACTATACATAATGATACTTGAAACTATACATAATGATACTTGAAACTATACATAATGATACTTGAAACTATACATAATGATACTTGAAACTATACATAATGATACTTGAAACTATACATAATGATACTTGAAACTATACATAATGATACTTGAAACTATACATAATGATACTTGAAACTATACATAATGATACTTGAAACTATACATAATGATACTTGAAACTATACATAATGATACTTGAAACTATACATAATGATACTTGAAACTATACATAATGATACTTGAAACTATACATAATGATACTTGAAACTATACATAATGATACTTGAAACTATACATAATGATACTTGAAACTATACATAATGATACTTGAAACTATACATAATGATACTTGAAACTATACATAATGATACTTGAAACTATACATAATGATACTTGAAACTATACATAATGATACTTGAAACTATACATAATGATACTTGAAACTATACATAATGATACTTGAAACTATACATAATGAAAGTGCTATTGTTTGGCATCAAATAAAACACGCGAATAAATGAGTGTGACTTTGTCCAAATAGCGATGCACTATTTGCACTTGCATGGGTCATCCTGCTCGTACTGTAGGTAAAAAAGTGTGTCACTATTCGGGCAACAAATGTCATTATTCCTTAGTATGTGCGCCCGCCATTAGCCACCGGTCCGAGGTCCCAGGTGCCCAATTTGACCCATAAATTTCCATGAGAGATCAATTACAAGAATAGACTATTAATTAACAAATTATTAAACTATTAATTAAAAATTAAGATTAGTCCCGGGTGCCCAATACGACCCATTAATTTCCATGAGAGATCAATTACTAGAATAGACTATTAATTAACAAATTATTATTAATAGTCAAACATTAAATGGTAATGACTAATGTTTAATGACTGGTTTTAATTAATAATGCTAATTAATAACAAATAATGACTGGTATGTAGATTAATTATTTTTAATAATTAATAATTTTATTATTATTATCCATTATTACTTATTGTTAATTATTATTATTATTGATAATTATTTATTATTAATTAATAATATTTACTGTATTAGTATTGATAATAAATTATTATTAAGTAATAAAAATAATGACTGGTATGGACTGGTATTTAGATTAATTATTATTAATAATTAATAATTTTATTACTATTATTCATTATTACTTATTATTAATTATTATTATTAATGATAATTAATTATTATTAGGTAATAAAAATAGTATTGACTGGTATGCAGGAGGCGCAGCGTAGCGAGGCGCTGGTGGTCAGGGAGGCGCGTGTGGCGCTCAGGACAACACGGATCCCGCGCCTCCTCCGCCGCCTCCGCGCGCGCCTGCTCCATGCGCCGCGCCTGCAGGTACCTGTGTGGACATACAGGCTGGTAATACAGGCTGTGTGTACATATACAGCTGGTAATACAGGCTGTGTGGAGACATGCTGTGTGTACATATACAGCTGGTAATACAGGCTGTGTGTACATATACAGGCTGTTAATACAGGCTGTGTGTACATATACAGGCTGGTAATACAGCCTGTGTGTACATATACAGCTGGTAATACATGCTGTGTGTACATATACAGCTGTTGATAAATGCTGTGTTGATACATAGGGTAGTGCGTTAATAAATAATTAGTTAATACATACGTAACACTAGTGTGACAATTAGTACATACACAGATGTCACTTAGTAGTACCTATAGAGCCACACAGTGATTATTATATACGTCAAGTTACCAAATTGTTATAGACTTCTTTTTGTTATAGACTTCTTCTAACTCGTAAAAAATCAAACATCACCGCTCATTATACAAGATATGTACAAGTTGATATATTCAAGAGATAATATTCAAACATGTTCGTGTATCTCATACGCATTCCAGTGCAGGAGTTGCGGTTTTGAGCCCCAGCTAGCTGTAAAAATTCTAAAATGTCAAGAATCGGCGTTAGGTCAGACGCGGTCGAATAGTCAAAGCTGATAAGACTTACTATAATTTAGGTGTACGAACGACCCTTGAATAAATATTAGGATACATACTATTCTATAACATGCCATAGATATTGTAAAAATAGGAATATTCTATAATATGCCATATTCTAAGAATAAGGAATGTAGGAATACTCTATAACATGCCATATTGTAGGAATAAAGAATGTAGGAATTTTCTATATCATGCCATATTGTAGGAATAGGAATGTAGGAATATTCTATAACATGCCATATTGTAGGAATAGGAATGTAGGAATATTCTATAACATGCCATATTGTAGGAATAAGGAATGTAGGAATATTCTATAACATGCCATATTGTAGGAATAAGGAATGTAGTAGGTATATTCTATGACATGCCAGATATTAGGACATTATTAGGATATATTATATTGTAGGATATTAGGATATTATATATTATATTGTAGGATAAGGAATGATTCCTGAAATACGAACTTGGGAATTTGTCCTCGCTTGTAGGTGGCGGGAACGTCGCTACTCTTGGAACGCTGCTTCTGCTGCGCCTTCTGCTGCTGAGACCGCCGCTCAGCACGGCGGCGTTCAAGTGGTTGTAGTGGTGCTGAGGCTGAGGCGGCTGATGCTGCGGCTGCTGATGCTGAGGCTGCTGCTGCTGAGGGTGCTGATGCTGCTGATGCTAATGATTCTGCTGCTGGTTTTGTTGAAGTTGCAGGAGCTGCTGCTGAGGGCCTCGATTTCGATGCATTCGATGTCTGCGAAAAAAATTGTAAGTTTAAACTTTGCTATAGATTTTTAAAAAAAAAAAGAGACAGCATCAGAAAGTTAACGAAGATTGACCACATTGAATATGATTGTATTGACACTTGAGTGAATTTACAGGGTTTACGACAGGGTTTGGGGTAGAGTTTACGGTTTGGGGTAAAATGAGTGGCCTTTGGTAAAGTTAGTGATTTGAGCTAGTGTTTCTAGTTTGGGGCAAAGTTAGCGGTTTTGGGTAGTGTTGGCAGTTTAGGGTTAAATTAGCGGATTGGGGATAAGTTGGCGGTCTAGGGTAGAGCTCGCGGTTTAGAGTAGAGTTAGCCTTTTAGGGTAACGTTAAGGGTTTAAAATAAAATTAGCGGCTTGGGATACAGTTAAGAATTAAGAGCAAAGTGAGCGGTTCGGAGTAAGGTTAGCATTTTGGGGTAAAAGTTAGCAGTTGAGGGCAGGGTTACCAGTTTGGGGGAAGTTAAGGATGAGACCTGCATATTATGTGGTGCAGGATTAAACTCTTGTTGGGGTTGGGGCCGTGGAGTTGAGGTCGCGTAATCGTCATCGCCCGGCGCCTGTTTTGCCCC